AGGCTGCGCCCAGCCGCCTCTCGCTTTCCTTTCCACCGTGTGTCTTTGCAAGGAACAACAAACTGTTGCTCCTAAACTTAGAAAAAAATAATATTAAGCTCAGTTTTCATGGTGCAGGAGCCCCAGGGAGGGAGAAGAATCCCAAGCTGCATCCACCAGCGGGGACGGTCTGTACAATCCGTGCAGTTCTCTGAGCCTGGAGAATGGGGAAGAGTCTCGTCGCCCTCGGCACCTCCTTTTCCTTCCTCCCTCAGCCGCCCCCTGCGTTCCCAGTGCCACCAGCCCTGGGGTTGGGGAGCTTCTGCTGCCCGTGGCCTCCGGGGAGCGCAGAGCTCTGTCCTCAAGAGGAGCAAACCAAACTCACTCAGGTTTAATGTCTTTAAATCTTTTCCCAGAAGGTGGAAAACTCAACTGCTGTTTGTCCTGCACCAGGGTCTGGTGGTTCTCGTTCTCCTTGGGCCATGTGCTCGTTGGGCTGCTGCGCTCCCGGCACGACAGCTCCTGCTCCAACAGCCATTTCTTTCTGTTCACGTTTGAAGTTGAGAGAGAGGATTTGCCCTGAAGTCTCGGGGGGGCCACAAAGAGCTCCTTGAGCAACTGTGAGTTATTTTGGGACAGGCCCATTGCTAATCACAGGGTGTCGTGCACAACTGCTTTATAGCCACACGGTGTTTATTCAATCAAATCAAAGTGCAGGTTGTGGGCAGAGCCGTGATGGCAGCGGGGGGTGATATTTACAGCTTCCAGAATAAGAAAGAGAAGCCCATAGAACGTTGTGCGCCATTAACCACGTGCCAAGGAGCAGCAGGTTTTCAATTATCCACCAGAACTGGATTTTATGTACCTCCTTCCCTCCTTGAGTCCCTTCCAAGTGCTTTTTCAGGGACTCATCCCTCTGTAACTGCTCCCAGGGCCGAGCGGAGCCCCATGGGTCCCCCTGTGCTACTGGAGGGGTGGCAGAGCTGTGACACCCCCCGGGGGCCTCTCAGACAACAGGGGGGTGTGAAGGGAGAGCTGTGCTGAGGAACGATCCACACAGCTCACCGGGGGTCTCGCCATGGAACCAGACAATGCTCCAGAACAATGGCCCCTTGGGTGCCCAGGGCGGGCACTGGGCCGTGCCCGTGGCCCGGGCGTCGTTTGGGGCTGGGCAGGGGTCAGTTGGTCCCCGTGGCACAGGTGAGGTGTTGGCCGTGGCAGAGGGCGGCAGTGGGGGACAGAGCCCACCCTGGGAGAGGGTTTGAGCTGCTGGGAGTGCCACAAAGGGGCAAGAACAGGCAGGGAGTAACAAATCCCCTCCGTTTTACCCACCTCAGCAGGAGCTGGGATTGCTGCGATTTGGGATTTAAGGTCACCGTATTCTTCAGACTTTCAAAGAAATTTAAATGCTGCTAAAAGTTTTATCTTTACTATTTAACAAATATGTTTTTTAAACCCCTTTCCCATAGTTATGTTATGAAATGATTTTGACCTTGCAGTGGCAACAGGTGATGCATTTGATTGTACTTTTTTTTTTTTTTCTTTTTGGTGGCATTTGTATTAAAATGGCATCTGAAGTCTTGATTAATTATCTCAAGAACATTAAATGTTTTAAAATGTGCAAACCTACGAGAGCTGAGAGCTGTTTAGCAGCAGTGTTAGACCCCAGTGCTTGTTTGTTTGTAACAGCATTTGTTCTGCTGTAGCCTCAGAGTGAATATTTAGATCTGAATAAATTTGTCATTTTCCTACACGGTGACAGTTTTACAGTCCCTTGTGTTTTCTGTGTCGGTGCATCTGCAGGGCTCACAGTTTGTGGGGCTTGTCTTTAGGCAAATTACAGCTTGTGTATTAGGAAAAGGGAATCCTGGTGTTGCAAAAAAACCTGTAAGATATATATATATATATATATATCCCACTGAACACAGCTGTTCATCCTACTGCTTTTGTCCTTGTATTGTTCTACTGTAATTAGCAATTTTTTAGTTAAAACCTGTCAGTTGCCAGGCAGGTGGATTGATGGGCTGAGGGTGGAGAGAAACTCACAGTGGGTATTTAGGTGGTTGCTTTGCGGGAGGATTCCTGAATTTCAAAACTTAGGTTGGGATTTATGTCAGTGTGAATTGCAGCATCGTTAGGACACGTGCAAAGGGAGGTGATGGAGACAAAAAAAAAAGGCTTATTCAGAAAAAAATGAATGAAATTTTTCTCTAATTTTGATGCCAAGTTATACAGTTTTGATGTCTTTTGAGTGATGTCATTGAAATCCATAGAGCAGTTTGGGTGGGAAGGGACCTTTCAGGGTCATCTAGGCCACCCCCTGCAGGGAGCAGGGACATCCCCAACTAGAGCAGGTTGCTCAGAGCCCCATCCAGCCTCACCTGGAATGGTTCCAGGGATGGGGCAGCGACCACCTCTCTGGGCAACAAATTCCTTCTCCTGGAGCTGGTCCAGAGCAGCTCCACACAGCAGCATGGGTGGTGACCACCTGTGGAGCTGCAGCACCACGATTTTCTGTGCCCTGTGTTTGTGGGGCTGTGGGGTGTAAATGTTCCTGCCTGTAGTGGCCTCAGCAGGGACAAGGTGCCCAACGACACGTGTTGGGGGTAAAGCTCTTTGTACGAAGGGACCATCCTCGGATCACGGCGGGTGCAGAAGCTGCCTGGGAAGGAAACTGCATCCCTGGCAGGTGCCAGGGTGGAGGCACCTGTAGCATTGGGAAGCACGGAGGTGAACAGGGGAAAATTGTGGGTTTCTGTGTTTAATCAGAGGCAAATAATTTTCGGTTTAATTGTGCTAAGTTTTCTCTGAAAGGAACAGCAGCTGGCACTTGAAGAGCTGCTGCTCCAGGTCGCTGTCTGGGTTCCATCGCTCCATCTTTACCTAGAACAGGGTAAGAAGGTTTCAGGGCCCCAGCCTGGCCCCCGGGGGGTTTCGGAGCGGAGCAGCTGGGGCTTACTCCCAGAGGGGCTGGCCTGGCCCCGGAGGAACACAGCCCTCTGAGGGGGTTGGGGTGTTTCTGGATTGCCACCCACCTCCTGTGTCCCCTGGGGCTGGAGGAGCCCCTGGCCAGTCAGAGCCTGCTGTGGGCGGGGCTGTCCTGGTAGACCAGCGCGCTGTCCCGGAGAGCCGCCTCCGCCTCGTAGCTGCCGCTCTGCCGCTCTGCAGCCCCGCGGCCACGGGGCACAGCTCCTGCCTGCACCACCTGGGCAGAGAACTCGAGCCGTTGGTCCGAGCCCCGTCACCCAGACGGTGCCCGCTTCAACGTGAGGCCTGCCCGGTTTGGATCCCTCTCACGGCTGCTGGAACGGAGATTCCCCGTGGCAGGGAAAAGCCACAGAGTTGACAGCGACCGACCCAGAGCGCTGCTTGTCAGCGATGGGAAGTTTGGGTCCCCCCGTGGCGGGGGTGAGGTTGCTCGGGGAGGCAGAGCAAAGGCTGCTTCCTTCCCCAGGAAGCCATCCCAAACCAGCAAGGCTAGAGGGGGATTTTGCTCACCTTTGAGCAGCAGAAATGTCTGCGGAGGAAGCGTCAGGCCGAGCTGCGTGTTCAATTAAAAGAGCTCCTGTGGAAGAGGGGGAGACATCAGCATCCCTAGGTGCCAGCCAAAACTCAGAGAAAGCTGGGGGTGGTTCCTCCTCAGCAGCACTTGCCGGGCTGAGCTGCCTCAGTTTGGAGGTAGAGGGGACTGAGCTTGCTTCAAAACTCCACCCTCAACCCAGAACCCGGGAGACCAGGCCGGGCCAGGACTGATTCCCAGCCCTTTCCTGGTTGGAAATCCATCCTGCCTTCCCCACTACCTGCATAGGTCCTCGCTAGGGTGTAGGAGAAGTCTCTTGCTGAGAGCTCCATGGTCAGTGTCCCCCGTGACCCGGCCACGTGTGAGAACCAGGAGAGGCTGCTGAGGGCATCTCCCGTTGCCTTCACGGCGGGTTCCAGCTCCGCAGTGCTCGACGCCAGCTCCAGTTTCTTCTGCAAAGAGAAGAGCCCCAGGAAAGCTGAGACTGTCTTTACCTTCGGGAGGGGAACAGGGCTGGTGCAGCCCTGAGCACACCCGGCACTGCCAGGGCTGGAAGGGAGGCAGCCAGAGGTGGAGGAGCCGTGGGCGGAGGGGCCGGGGTGGGAACAGGGATGCTGCCAAAAGGGACCTCGCAGCCCTGCCTACAGCACTGGGAGCCAGACCCAGCGTGGGGCTGTTCCCACACCCAGTGGGGACCAATGGTGTCCCCTGTTCTCTCTAACTGCATCCACCCATCAGGCTCTAATTCCCCAAATTTTGATACTTTCACTCCCATCCCTGTGCCGGGGCTGTGTCCAGGCAGGAAGATGCAGATTTCAAGGAGCTTTTTTCTCAGGTGGTGTCAATGGGCAAGGCCCCAGGCCCAGAGCGGCTCCTCTGATGGGCAGCAGGTATTCAACCCTTCCTGGAAGCACACCTAGAAGCTCGCCCTGGTCGAGCTCAGCTGCTACTCCCCCAGCAGCCAAACACCTCATGAAAGCCCAAGTGATGGGGCACCGAGAGGGTCTGAGGTAGTTGCTCTTGAGGTGTGCCTGTGGCTCCTGGCTGTTAATCTGTGCTTCCTGGGATATTCCCCTGTCTGAGGGATGGATCGAGAGGAGCGTGGAGCTGCCAGGCTGGGGTGGCATCTTCCCAGTGATCAAACCCATGGCAGAATTACAGTTACCTTGGGCAGTATCACTAGAAGGAAGTGTTCCATGTTTAAGTAGTGTAGCTTTGTGTGAATTAGCCTCCTCTGCAGGTTATTGGTGAAGCTACAGCCTGTCAGTATCTGCTGCACAGAGCCAGCGTTGATGGTTTTGAGGCTTTCAGTGACCACACAGTTCCTCTCCCTAGTCTGTGAAACCCCAGCTCATTTGCCCAGCAGGAGCCCGGACTGGGCGGGCTGCCCCTGGTTCTGTCCTCTGCTGTGCCCAGCTCCTCCCACCCCCCACGGCCCTGTGCCTCGTCTGACTGGAAACAGGGAAAGCAGCACCCTCGATGGGTGCTGGGCTGTGCTGTGGGCAGAGCTGCACGTCAGTGCTCACAGCACAGGATCATGGACCCCAAAGGCACAGACGTGTCCCCAGCAGCCTGGCTGGGAGCCAGCGTCACACAGCCCAGCACCATGTGAAGGGAGGCTGGAGCCAGGGGGGGGTTGGTCTCTTCTCCCAGGGAACAAGGGACAGGACAAGAGGAGATGTGCTGTGCTAAGGACTAACGCTGCTTTCACCACCACAGCCTGGCATTGGGCACAGATCCTGCAAAGTGAGAACCCTGATGGACAAACATAAACCAAATTGGACTCGTTTTATGTGCATCAATAAAAAGGAAATGGGTTGGAGCAGTTAAGATCCCTTTATGAAGGGCTAAATGATATCCTCACTAGAGGGGAATTGGGAAGAGGTTTCAAAATGAGCCAGACTCCCAGAGACCGAAATAATTGGGTTGTTTGGAGCTCAAAAAGAAGCTGTTCATCACCCGGGAGCAAAACTCTGGTTCTGATGTGGAGCCTTGGTGTGTTCCTGCCTGATGCTGCAGGAGCACTATCTGCAGAACCCCCTCCCAGCTGGTCTGGTAGTAACATTCCTTGAGGGGCTTTTCCTTCATCAAAAGTTGTCTGAGGATGGCAAGAGGACACTCTGGAGGTCAGAGAGGTGCTTTGTACAGAGTGTACTGAGTCAGGGAGGTGGAATCACAGAAAGGTCTGGGTTGGAAGTGACCTTAAAGATCATGTAGTTCCAACCCCCCTGCCATGGGCAGGGACACCTCCCACTAGAGCAGGTTGCTCAAAGCCCCATCCAACCTGGCCTTGAGCACCTCCAGGGATGGAGCATCCACAGCTTCTGTGGGTAACCTGTTCCAGTGTCTCACTCCCCTCAGAGTGAAGAATTTCTTCGTTCTTCCTAGTCTAAATCTCCCTCTTTTCGTTTCAAAGCATCCTTCCTTGTCCTGTCCCAACAGGTCCTGCTCAAAAGTCTGTCCCCAGCTTTCTGACAGGCCCCTTGAATCACTGCAAGATCCCCAGCAGGTCTCCCCAGCTGGAGCCTTCTCCTCTGTGGCTGCCCCAGCCCAACTCTCTCCTGCTGGGCTCCCAGCAGAGGGGTTCCCCCCTCGGGGCATTGCTGGGGCTCCTCTGGCCCCGCTCCAGCAGGTCCCTGGCTCTGCTGTGCTGAGGACTCCAGAGCTGCCCCAGCACTGCAGGGGTCTCCCCAGTAGCGGGGTGACCGACGTTGCTGCTGCAGCCCCTGGGGAGAACTCCTCAGGCTCTGGCTCCTGTGTTTTTGAAAGCCCTCCCAAGCTGCCGACGCTGCAGGGAGTACGGTGACTCAGACCTTCCCCCTCTCATGGGGTCTGGATGAGGAAGGGATGGCTGCACACAGTCAAATCCAGGCATTCCCTCCCTGTATCTGGGCTAAGGTAATCTGGACTGCTCTATCTGGATTAGTGTCATCTCTGAGATGACACCCTCTGATGTGCTGATTGCACCTTTCAGGCTGGTTCCTGTCTCCCTTTATGGGACATGTCAAACCAGCTAATGTCATTTACCTTCATGAAATTCTGAGCTGCTTTGATCTCTCCTGTCATCTGAGCACCTTTAAAAGAGCTGCCTGTAGGTAAAGCCAGAGAACAGCAACTCTAAAGAGGCAGCAATGGAATTTCCATCTTTTTAGTGGGAATAAAAATAGAAAGGCATAATGCAGTAGGTTTAATATTCAGGAGTCTTGTGGTGTTTTTCCAGTTAAGAAACAAACCCACAAAATTACTTTGGATTCAGGAAGGTGACTCTTTCAATGTTAAAAATACACCTCTATTGGTACCTGTCATGAGGAGCTCTGACAATGCAGAACTCTGCTGAGATGAAAGGAGCTGTGTTTTCTGCAGCACAGGAGGCTCCTAAAATGAGCAGTGCCTGTGTTCTGCTTTTGTAAGTGCTCGTTACAGAGCAGGGCTGTCAGACGCCTCCTGGATTCAGCCTGGTCACGTCCCCTGCCAGCCTCAGCCAGGAGCATCAGCACCAAGTGGGGTGAGCAGAGCTTTGTGTGGGCTCACCTGCACTGTGGAGAGGAAGGCAGCCAGCACCTGGCCCTGGCTCTTGGAGAGGCACCGCAGGACGTCCAGCGACAGGATGTTTGTTGTTCCCTCCCATATGGAGAGCACCTGTGGGGCAGAAGAGGCTGGGGAAGGCAGGAAGGAGCCCTCTGGAGCAACTGCGGTGAAGAAGGGGGAACGTGAGGAAACAAAGATGTGGGGCAGAGCTAAGGGGATATCAAGGAAATCTCCAGAGATGTCTTGCCTCACCCCAAGTGGAAAGGAGCAGTGGTGGTGAGGGCAAGGAGCCCAGCTCCATTGCTGAGCTAGAAAGCCACCCCAGCAGCAGGAACAGAGGATGTCCCCTCCCTGGGGATGACAGGGCTCAGCAGGCAGGCAACTGGGAAAGAACTGCCACACCTGGAGTGAGCTGGGGAGGGCCTGAGCATGTTTTCCCCCAAGCATGTCTTAAGCATCAGCCCGGGAAGCACCGTGGAGGCGACTGGGTGGCCCACAGGAGCTGCTCCTGCTCCTCCTGCTGCTTGCTTACCAGAGCATCGCGGACTATGACGGGCAGGCCCGTATCCTCCATGTAACCTTGTCCTCCAAAACTCTCCATTGCCTCAACCACAACAGCAGAAGCCTGCAAAATGGAGAGAGCTGAGCTGACCCACACTGCACA